ACGTTGTCCCTTGTATTGTGGCATGCGTCTCAGCATCAGCTTTCTATTGGGGCTGGCAGGTAAAATAAGGGGCCAGGTGGGCCCGGGGGGACTGGGGTACACGTGTCCCATCCAGTCACGTCGTCGGCTGTGCAGTGGTGGGCCCGACGTCGCCCCATCTTGTGTTTCTCATGAGCAATTGAGAGTCTGGATTGTTAAAGGATAGTTCATTTTCTTAGCATTGCCCACAAATTGGGGTTTTGTAAAAAGTTGGCCAGCCCCAGCAGAATCCATGTATGACCTAGACTTGGCTTCCAGGTCAATCCCTGTAGCCTGACCCAGGGCAACCACAGGAGAAAGGCCTGGGGGAAGGAGGGGGCCTGGCCACATCTTGAACCCCAGCCTGAGGGAGAGCCCTTGCTGAGGAGCCCCCAGGGTCCCGAGTGGAGAAAGGATGGGGCCGCACATCCCCCGACTGGGTCTCGTGGGTCCGTGCTGTAGATTGGTGGGGAGAGTGGGCGAGGGGTGGTCCCCACTGGACCCTAGCAAGGTGAGGAGGTGGATGAGGTCGTGGCCCCCAGGTGCCCAGAGCCGGGCACCGTGGGTAAGCGGGGGGTGGGGGGTTTGGGCGCTGGTCAGCCAGGTCCCGCCCTCCCAGGGGAGCCGGTGAGTGTGTGTCACGAGTGAGAAGCGAGGAGCCGTTTCAGGATGGTTGTATCTGGAGGGCGGGCTCTTTGTAGACGTGGAGCAGGGCCAGGGAGAAGCCGGGGAACAGCGGGGGAGGAGCGGGTGGCCAGCCCCGGACCTACCGACCTACTGCGGGGCCTAATGGGGTAGGGGGGGCTGTAGCTTCGGAGCTGGGACAGGGGTATGCCGACGGGGGTCCCTGGCTCTTCACGGTCCCCCTCCCGCCATGCGCCCAGAAGCCGCTCCCGCTCCGGGGACCGATACCGACGGGGCGGCCGGGGCCCCCGACACCACAGCAGCAGCCGCAGCCGCAGCAGCTGGTCCCTCAGCCCGTCCCGCAGCCGCAGCCCGTCCCGCAGCCACAGCCGCAGCCTGTCCCGCAGTCGCAGCCGCAGCCCCAGCCCCAGCCGCAGCCGTTCGCCGTCGCCCCCGAGGGAGAAGCCCACCAGGCCGCCGGCGTCCCCCGCTGTGGGCGAGAAGCTGAGAAAGTGAGTCGGGAGGGCGGGGTGGCGCAGGGTGGCTGAGCTCCGCTGTTCTCTTTCTCAAGAGAGCTCCTGCCTTGGGGCGTCCGAAGGGGACAGTGCTCTGCCCCCCGGGGTCTGGCCGTGCTAGGAACACGGCCGTGGCCTGAGGGAGCCAAGTGGGGGCACAGTCCCTCCCCGGGGGGAGGGGGCGGTGTCTGAGGCCCAGGGCTTCGCCTCTCTGGTCTGAGAGCAGTGCTGAGGTGGCCCGGGGTCCAGGGTGCAGCCTCCTTTTCTTCCTCCCAGGACCGAACCTGCCGCTGGTAAAGAGACAGGAGCTGCCAAAGTCAGTAAGAATTTGGAACTCGCCCGTCTAATTCCCGCCAGCAGCAGTGCCCGAGAGCTGGGCCCGGTGGGCCTGCAGGGGGGACCCGGGGGGGGGGGGGGGGGGCCGGGAGATCCAGCCCTGGGGTTGAAGTGGGCTGGGAATGCTCTGCCCTGTCAGGTTCCATGTTCCCCTCCCCTCCTCCCTGTCCACTGGGGCTCCAGCTGTCCCCAGGCCTCCCAGATCCCTGGTGGTGGGCATCTGTGGCCGGTCCCTCTGCCCCACGTTCCCCCGCAAGTCCCAGGCTCTTGGCTGAGGTGGGTGGTGGGAGCTCCGGACACCCACCCCCTCTCCCGCCTCTTCTCCCCCTTCCCCAGCCCAAGCTGACGCCGCAGGAGAAGCTGAAGCTGAGGATGCAGAAAGCACTGAACAGGCAGTGTACGTCCCACCCCGTCCCGGGTCTGCTCCGCTCCTCTGCCTGCCCGTCTGGCCTTGCGGGGGGACACCCTGCCCGCCCGCTCCTGGACAGGCAGGCGTCAATGAGGTGTGGCACTTTGGGGGAGGAGCTAGTGTGCGTGCCATTCCGTTGCCCCCATGGTAAGGGCCGTGGCCCCCATGCTAAGGGCCGTGGCCATCTGGTTGGCCTCCCTGGGTTCAGTGTTGGCGTCTGGGAAGGGGGGATGCTTTTGAGGGCTCCTCCTCAGCCACCACGTCTCTCCTTGCCCACAGTCAAGGCGGATAAGAAGGCAGCCCAGGAGAAGATGATACAGCAGGAGCATGAGCGCCAGGTAAGGGCAGCAGTGAGGGGTGCGGGACTGCGGTAGCCGGCCGGTCGGCCCGCCCTCACAGCCACGTCTGCCACAGGAGCGGGAAGACGAGCTTCGAGCCATGGCCCGCAAGATCCGCATGAAGTAAGACCATTGCACTCCCCGTATCCAGGGCCACGGCCCCCCGCTTCTGGGCTGCCCACTGTTCCCCACCAGCTGGCTCCTGGCCCTGCTGCCCGCGCTAGCCCTTGGGGTGGGAGAACGCCCACGCGCCCGCCCAGCCCTCTGTCAGCTTGCTCGGTCCAGCCGCTGCGGCCCCTCCCAGCCGTGCCGGCCCCGGATGCACGGGGCCTCTGTGTTCTCCTTGGCTTCACTCGTCGGGGGCCCTCCCTGACCGTCCTGTCTAGAGTAGCACCCCAACACGCTCCATCCTCTAAGCCTGCTATGTTTTCTTCAGAGCACTGACTCCCGCCTGGCACGCCCCGTTTTGTTTCCTTGCTTGTCGTTGATGTCTCGGGAAAGGGGACGAGCGGGCAGGTCCGCCTGCCGGCTTCCTGCTGTGTGCTCAGCCCCCAGATCAGAGATGGTGCTCCGCAAGCCAGCCCTGCGGCAGGTTCTTCCCGGTTCGGGGCGGGGCTCCGCCCTGTTCCCCTTAGGTCTCTCGGGTCTTTGCTCCAGAGGGAACAGGCTCGCGTCCTGGACCAGGCAGCCGTGGAGTCCAGTCCCGGCTCTGTCCCTCTGTGCTGTGACTGTGGGGCCCCAGGGGTGGGCGCTGGCCCTCTCAGGCCTCACTCCAGCCTCCGCAGCCAGGGCAGAACTCGGTGACGACCTCGCAGGGCAGCTCGGGGAGGAGTGCTCAGAAAGCACAGGCCCGCTCGTGCTGGGGTGGAGGTGGGTCTGTCAGTGGCGGGGCTAGGTCACCGGCCGCTTGTTCGTGGGTCCTCGGAGCCGAGACTCCTTCCTCTTCCTCTCTTGGGGCCCCTGCTGCAGGGCTTCCCGCGCGGTGCCTAGTGTGTCAGCAGGGTGCTGGGTGTATCGTCACTGTTCCTGCTTATTGCTGCCGTGTGCTGGGCCCGAGGGTGCTGCCTGCCTCCGTCGGGTGGGGAAGCAGAGTGCCCGGGGACGCGGCATTGTGGTCAGTCGGATCCCGAGTTCTGATCCTGCCTCCGCTGCCCACCAGCTGTGGGCCGCTTTCTTGTCTGGGCCTCAGTTTGCTCATCAGTGAAATGGGGATGGAATAGTTGTCCCAGCCCACAGGCTTGTTGGGCGGATTCAGATCCGGAACAGGCGAGTAGCAGGGGCCCAATAAATACAGCCCTTGGGGTCGCGAGCCTCGGGCAGCCTGACGAAGGCTGAGGAAGCACTTAGTATGTGTGAGTCCCTGTGTTGTGAGACTACCTGAGCATGACGGAGAAAAGTCGAATTTTCCAGCTCGATCCCGTGTGTTTAGCAAGCCTTTCAAAGCAAGGCGGACTGAGGCTCCAGTCCTGGCTCTGCCCAGCCTGCATCCCTCCGAGCCCAGCACTCTCATTCCCGCCACACCCTCAAGTTCAGGGTTCTGGCCGCGTGCTCACGCCTGCCCCTGGGCTCCATCCCTTTCCCCTGCAGGGAGCGGGAACGCAGAGAGAAGGAGCGAGAGGAATGGGAGCGTCAGTACAGCCGGCAGAGCCGCTCGCCCTCCCCCCGTTACAGTGAGTACCCCGCGGCCGTGCAGCCCGCCGCTCTCACCTCAGAAGCACGGTGCGGTTTCCTCCTTAGCTCTCCAGGAATTACAATGCTTAAGACACACACTTGACGTGATGGCTTTAGTCACGAGGGGAAAAAGGCAGGCGTTAGAAGCAATGCTTGTTGCCAGGCCTTGGAGCAGGCCAAGGGGCCTGGCCCCTGAGCACTGGCTTTGTTCTTTCTTTGCAGGTCGAGAATACAGCTCCTCCCGAAGGTAAGCTCCCAGCCCAGCGCCCTGAAGATGACCTTGTCCCTGCCCTGATTCTTTCATCTCTGCCCCAGTTGCACAGGCTGGCCTCGAGCCTTGTTAACATCCCTCCCCCTGCAGCTTGCTCCCCTCATCATCACCGATGCCGCGGTGGTCACGAGTGTGTTGGTGTGCGTGTGCACAAGCCCTCACGGGGGGCCCGTTTCTTTCTGCAGGCGCTCAAGGTCCCGGTCTCGAAGTCCCCATTACCGACATTAGGCAGAAGCGGGGGCAGGGGCAGGGGGGGGGGGGGGGTGAGGGCTCAGGCTGTGATGCTGCTGGTTTTGTCTCTAATGAAATAAAATCACTCGTTATTTAATTCCCTTGACCTGGCCTCGGTGTCATCTGTGTGGTCTGCGTCGGCCAGCCACCGAGGGCAGCTGGGGAGGGAGGTGGTCGGGTTTCAGGGCGGAAGCCAACACTACGAGCCTCGTGGCCAGCCCTGCCCACGTGTGGGTGTCTGGGTGGCAGCTCCTGGTTCGGCAGCACCGTTCCTGCCACAGCCCGGCGAGGGCAGGGGCCTGCTCGTTGGGGAAAGGGCGCCGGCACCCCGCATGTGGAGGATGGGCCAGGACTTTGCCCAGGGGCCTCTGGTGACAGGTCCAGGCTTCCCCCCCGCCCTCGCCTCGCCCACACCAGGAACCGGGAGCACGGCTTTCTGTGCCAGTCTTGCTGTGCCCGGGGCGCTGGGGGCTGGCCTTTCCCCTCACCCCCTCCAAACCGGTCCGTCCAGCCGTCCACCCCAAGGAGGGAAGCCACCCGCCCCCCCCCCGAGACACCCCGAGAAAGCCAGAGTCCACACACGGGTGTGACTGGGCGGGAGGCTTTACTGGCGGCGGAGGAAGGACAAGGACGTGGAGCAGCAGCGGCCCCCCCCGCGCGGTGCCAGGACCAACAGGGAGGGCATCCCTGCAGCTCAGGCCTCCCCGCCCACGTCGGGGTGCTTCTGCCGCAGGTGTTTGTCCAGGGTGGCGCGCAGGCCGAAGGGCACGCAGCAGTGGGGACACTCAAAGCGGGCGCTGCCGGGCCCCAGGCCGTGCATGCGGCGGTGGCGGTTGAGCTTGCTGCTCTGCGCGCAGGCGTACGAGCAGAGCTCGCAGGCGTACGGCCGCTCGCCCGTGTGCGAGCGCCGGTGCACCGTCAGGTTGCTGCTGTTGGTGAAGTGCTTCCCGCAGAACTCGCAGCTGCCCCCGGGCCCGCGGCTCTTGCCCGCCGGCTTGGGCATCTTCTTGGGGGACGTCTGGCTCTTGGCAGGCTCAGCTGTGTGTTCCTTGGGGGTAGGTCCCCAGCTGGCCCCGCCGCCAGGAGCCCCGGGTTCCTGGACGCCCGCTGTGGCTGCTGCCCCGGCGCCCTCCCCACTGCTGCACAGCAGGCTGCTGGCCGGGGCAGCTGCATGGGCGGCGGGCTCCGGAGGGGCGGTAGCAGAGGCCTGTTCCTGACTGGCTTTGGCCCCGCAGGGGCTCTGAGGCCGCAGCTGCCGGTGGGTCTTCTTGTGGCGGTTGAGCTTGCTGCTCTGGGTACAGGTATAGGGACACTGGTCACATGCGTAGGGCCGCTCGCCGGTGTGCGAGCGCATGTGCACTTTGAGATTACTGAAGGAGCTAAGGGTCTTCGCGCACACAGGGCAGGTGGGGCTCCGCCGGGGCAGGATGCTCACCCGGGGGCCCTTGGCCTCCGCTTCCGGCCCCACCACTGCCGACACGGCAGCGGCCACCTCCGCCAGGCCCAGCAGCGGGGCTTCTGGGGCCTCAGGTTCCGTCTGGTAGATGGACAGCCCGTGGTCCCACTGGGCATGGCGCAGCAGTTTCCAGGCCCCTGTGAACTGTCTCCCGCAGCGGAAGCAGCTCAAGGCCTTGGGGTCCCTGCGTTCTGCAGAGAGAAGGGCCGAGTGTTAGGGAGATGCATGAAAGCAGCCCTCTCACGCCTGCCAGTTGGTCGCCTTCTGCAGCAGAGGCCCTTTTCAGAGGGCTGAGAACGCACTGCAGGGAGACAAACTCCCTGCCCTCAGAAGCCGAGGTGCAGAAGTGGGTGGACAGACAAGTGAGAAAAATCTGTGGAGTGGATGATGACTACCTGGCGATTCTCTTTGTGTCTTGAGAATCTTCCAGAAAAAAGGGACAGCAGAGTGAGGGATGGGAGGAGTGCTATTTTCTATTGGGGGTGGTGGGGGTGGGGGTCAGGAAGGCCTTACTGGAAGGCATGGCCAAATTCTGGGTGCTGGGCGCCAGGCCATGCCCCCTGCTCACTGAGCTTCCTAACCTAGACAAGAAACAAGAGTGCCATTTTCCAGATGGGAAAACTGAGGCAGACACACTTCTCCAAGGTCACAAGCTTGCAAGGGAGGAGTTGGCATTTCAATCCAGAAACCTGGGGAGTGCGAGACAGATTTTCCAAAAAGACTTGTTGGCTTGATTACTGAGTGGGTTTCTGTGCCAAGCTCCAAGTTCATGTGTTCCACGCATGGTCTCCTCTTCCCTGCCTCACAGAAGAGGGGGCCAAGGCCTTTGGCCCTAAGTGGGGAGAAGGCTTAGCAGCTACCTAGAGGTCGGGGTGGGGCAGTGAGTTAGGTGCCCCCCCTCGACATGGACCCCAAACTAAGAGCCCTCCAAATTGGATGTTTTCTCTAGACCCTCCAGGTACTATCAGTAAAGTACTTGCCTTTACCTTTCAAATTCTAGACTGTCTGGGATGGGGGTGGCTTTCCTGATCCAACACCAGGGTCAGGAACACAGATGGGGGCTGGAGAGTGTCAGCCTGGCCCGACTTCCAACTAGTTCTCCGGCTCCCTAGCTGTGTGGGCGAGAAACACTCCTCTCTGGCCCTCAGTTTTCTCGTTTGTCAGAATATGGGGATCCTCTCCCTTTTAGGGCTGTTGTGACCTCGAATGGAGAAGAACTGAGAGTTCTGGTCCATGTCAGCCCTCGGTAAACATGAGCTGAGCCCACGTGGCTGAGGTGCCCACACCGCTCCAAGTCCAAGCACCTGGGAGTGTTCAGTGATTCCATCAAGGCCCCTCCCTGGGCCACCAGATAACCTGCTGGCTTCAAGTCTACAGCTAATTCACAGTCCCTCCTTCCCCTCCCCGACTACAGGGAACCCCCCCACCCCCCACCCCACCAGCCAGCCCAGGCCTGAATGTAATTCCATCTCTCAAAAATCCTAGGAACTCATGGGCCAGGGGATGGAAACATGTAGGTCTGGAGAAGCCTCGGCCTGCGATGACCAAAAGTTTACCACTGAGTCTAGTACCATGTCAAGGGCTTTCATTCCCTCCCAAGAGAAGGAACCCAGGTGTCCAGACACCCAGGAGCTGGCCCAAACCAGGGGCTTCCCAGCGTGCAGGGCTGGGAGATTCCATCAGAGAGGGAAGCCAGAGGCCCCTTCCCTGACTCTGAGCAAATGCACCGGCGCCTCAATCAGAAGTGATCAAGAGGTGGGACAGGGTGGCCATGCCACGCTTCCAGCTGGCCTCGGCTTCCCCTCCCCCAGGTTCCTGCCCTTCCCAGAGGTCCCCCTACTGCCACAAGGGTCCAGCCACCTGGCCAGTTATTTCTGGCCAAGGGGAAGGAGAAGTGAAACCAGATTGGGGGTGTGTGTGTGTGGCAAATCCCCAGACCAGTCTTCAGGGGCTGGCCACACCCTGTGGGCGGCCCTCGTACAGGCCCCGCCCCGCCCCCACCTACCCCCCCCACCCCCACTAGTCCCAGCCCTAGGACAGGGCAGGCCCTGGCCACGCCTAGGCTGCACCCGATGGGGAGCGAGAAAAGGGAAGTAGTGCTCACTGCCCCGCCTGTCCAGCTCAGCCCCTTCTCCCACAGGAAGCCGGGCCCTTGAACTTGAGAGGGGGACTGCATCCCGGCTTGACTCACCTGAGCCCTGGCAGGGGCTGGGGCCTCTGAAAAGCTGACAGTCCACCTTCTTGTGGTCCATGAAAGCAGTGATGGCCTCCAACGGAAAGGTCTGCAGGCAACGGCCGCAGGTCAACAGATCTGGGTGTTTGTCAGTCCAGGGCTGGCGGTCTGCTGGGAGGAAACGGGTGGTAAGCGTGGGGTGGGGCCAGGATGGGGGCTGGGGGTTCCGAGGGAGAGGGAAAACCCGAAGGTCAGAATGGGGGCTGGAGGCCAGGATCAGGCAGCAGAAATAAGGCGGGGTCCGAAGGTCCGGGGTCGGTGCCTGGAGGAAGGCGTCCCACGTAGCCCCCCAAGCCCCCAGAGTGAAGGGGAGAGAGGCTGGGCAGGGGTAGGGGGCGCTCACCGCGAGGGTTGAGGATCAGTGGCGTCCACAGCGCCCACTGGTTCCGCTCGCCCGGGGCGTGGAGAGGGCTCCCGGCGGGCACGGGGTCGGGGGAGTGGCGGGGCTCGCCCTCGAACAGCCCCGGCGCGGGCACTTCCTTCGGGGAGAAGGGCCCCAGCCCCGGGGCCTGTAGGGACCGCGCGTCTGGCTCGGGCTTCACTTCGATGACGAGGTCCGGCATCTCCATCTCGTCGTCTGTGTTGGAGGCGGGCGCGGGGTCTACTCGGCGAGGCGTGCAGCCGGCCTTGCGGCGGGACATGAGTCGAGGGCCGGCCGGGCGGGCGGGCGGGCTGGCGGGAGGAGGACGCGGGGGCCGTGCGCGCTCAGTCCGAGGCGCTCAGGTGAGTGACTGCGGCGACCCGCGGCGAACTCACACGTGCTGGCCCGGCCCGTGGCTCCGCCCACCAGGGCGGGGCCTGACGGGAGAGGACGGGGCGGTCCCCCAGGGGCCCCGGGCGGCAGCCAAACTCGATCAAAGCTGAGCCCACTGCATCTTCTTAGGGACCAAACCTTAATGACGTCCAGGTCCCACGGCCACGCACACGAACAGCTATTCCTGATCCCGTTTTAGGGCCGGTGTAACTGAGGCAAAGGGTGCCCACACCCATCCCCAAGAGAGAAAACAGTAGGGGCCACGTTTCTCGCTAAGCGCCTATGAGTAATCGGGACTATTTCATTAAATGCATTACAATAAAAATTCAGTGGGCAAACATTTATTGAGCCTTTACTGTGCACTGGGTTCTGTTCTAAGCACTGAGGATACCGCAGTGAACAAGACAAAATAATCCCCGGCCTCACGCAGTTTATTTGTTGGGGAGACAGACTCTCAACAAGGTAACGGCAAAACTTAAAGAGTGCCTCCCAGGATGACAAGTGCAATGGGGCAAAATAAAGCTAGGAGAGGTTATAAAGGGACAGGGTTGCTGGGGTGGGGGTGGGGGGTCAGCTTTCTCCAGGGCAGAGCATGGTGGAACTGAGACCGGAGGGAGGTGAGGGGGCCAGCCGGCCTTGGGCATTCAAGAATAACAAGGAAGGGGGATGGGCGTGGGGAGAGGCGTGGGTGATTGAGTTTTGTGAGAAAATGAGGTGAGACCCAAGAGGGTCTTTTGATCACTTTAAGGTCTTTGGTTTCCTGAGACCAGAGCCTTGACGGGTAGGCTTTAAGGCAAGGAGGGTTGTGATCAAATAGATCTCCTCTGCTCTGGAATCACCATTAAAACCAAACAGGCAACTGTCTCACCCCCCCCCCACTCGGGCCTCCTTGAACTTCCCTCCGCAAAGCAGCTCACTCTGATCGCTGTTTGAAGTGGCATCGACACCCTGCCCCACCCTCCAACCCTGACGAGTTTCTTTTTCTTCCCGGCACCCGCCACACCATAACATAGACCTATTTGTTGACTGTCCTCTCTTCCCTCCCCACCCCCACCCAACACAAGCCCCCTGAGGTCAGGGCCAGGGTCTGTCCTTCCCGGGCTGTCCCCAGCCCTGCTCCGAGTGAATTTCACATGCTAATCTCCCCAGAGTACTGCTCCAGGCCAGAAGGTTCCTCATATTGTTATTCAGGGCTGAGCTCAATTGTCCTCTGGGGAGCAGAGGACCTCCCTGACCACTGTATCTAATGTAGCCCCACCCTGCTGAAGGCCTCACAACCATGACCTCCATCCGTCCCCGCTTCTTTCCTGGCCCTCAGCTTCCCCATCTGTTACCTAAGGGGGCTTCTTCATGGCCACCCAATTAAAGAAGCTCCCCCAACTCTACCACCATGACCCTTATTTTATTCTTTTTATATCACTCATCACAAGCCCTGAAGGATCTTGTTGATGTATTTGCTCATGGAGACCCTGTATCTGCCCCTCCCGGCCCTCCTAGAACGTAGGTTCTAAGAGGGCAGTAGTCAAGCCAGCCTTGTCCACAGGGCCCCCGGTCGTTCAGAGGTTACCAAGTGTGTATTGAGCTCCTGCTCTGCACGGGCTTTCAACAGATATCGCAGAAGGCCCGTGTGCCAGGCACTAGGCAGGCCTTGGGGATCTGGTGGGGTGGAGAGGCCCGCGGAGCCTCTGCCTTACTGAAAAAGTGTGGGAGAAGGGAATTCTGTCTGAGCCCAGAGGAGCGAGGCTCCCTAGCCTTCAGGCCAGACATTCCATCTTTCAAGGCCTGTTTCCTTCTTTGTAAAACGGGGGTGGGGGTGGGGGGCTGCAGGGAGGTCTGCGAGACAGAACCACCACCCGGGGTCCATCCCAGCTGCAGCTCTCTCCAAACCTCTTTCCTCCTGAAACCTGGCTGCGCAGGGCTTCAAGGAAGGGAGCTGGGGTTTGGCCTGCAGGTGAAGGGTAGGAGTGTGCACGTGTAGGGGGTGGGGGTGCAAACACCAAGCTCCGTGCTTAACTCAGCCAGGAGGAAGTCTTCCCCCTCTCTGCGCCTCAATTTCTTCTTCCGTAAAGCGGGCTCCCGGACAGGCCCCTACGTCGCAGGCGGGCGGCTCCGGGGGCAGCGCGGGGCCAGGCTGCGGGCGGGGCGGGGCGGGGCGGGACGCCGGGGCAGCGCTGGCTTCCGAACCCCAGGGCCCGCCCGCCACCACGTGGGGCGGCGGCGCGGGCGGAACCTAGGCGGGGCGGCGCGCGGCCCGCCCGGGCCTCTGCAGCCGGGACGCCGGCGGAAGTGGGAGCGCCGGCCGTCGCGGACCTCGGTGAGTGCGGGGTGTCGGTGGCGGGGCGCGAGCGCAGGGCAATTCCCTCCCCCGGGCGCGCGCCCGCGTGCGGAGCCGGGAGTGGCGGGAAAGGGGCAGGTCCGCGCCTGCCACGCAGTTCGGATCCCCCCCCCCCCCCCCCCCCCCCCCGCGAGCGCCGGCACCGGGACTCCGGTCGGGGACGTCCCCGCGCCCGGGTCGGAGGGGTGAGGAGCCGGGGCAGCGCGCAGTGCTCCCGGCTCGGGCAGGTGCTGGCGACGACGGTCAGGACAGTGACCACGACAGCAGTCCTGACGCCCCGCCTCGCTGGGACGGGCTCGCTTGCCCGATCTGAGCCGGGAAGACACCCAGCCCGGGCGGACTGGGGAGTGGACGCCTGGGGGCCGGGAGGACCTCCTTAGTATAAGAAAAGGCTAGCGGTGGGTGGCCAGGGCAGAATTGAAAGAAGGAAACTGACCGGCCTAGGGGGCCCAGGGGAGGGGAAGGACTCTGTGCTGGAGCTTCTGGGGGGTGGGGGTGGGGTGTTGTGTGGACATATCAGCACCTTGGTTCATTCGCGGGCGTCTGGGGTCTTCCCTGTGAACCTGGTAACTCAGCTAGTTCCCTGCCCTGGCAACGGAAGGGTTAGCTAAGTGCGTGTCCACTGAACGGATCCATTGCCATTTCCTTGGAGGTCAGCCCCGAGGCCCCTAGAAGGGAGGTCTGCGAATCTCCTGCCCTCGCGCCCACCACCCAAGTGATAGGCTCTGGAGTTTTTATGCAAATCGTTTTTCAAGTCGTGGGGGATGGGTTTGGGCATTTTTCTGAAATCTTCCCGCGGGAAATCCTTGGCTTGGAGACTGAAAAGGTAAAAGATTCTGGAGCCTGGTCACCGGGGAGCTTGGATAATGCCTGCTTTTGCCTTCTTGGGCACACCCTGCCGGACCTTTCCTAAACCGGTTTCCTATCCGATCACACCTTGGTTCCAAATCCTCCAGTGGCCCTCCTGTGCTGGACGAAAACAAATCTGTCCCGCAGAGAGCAGGGGTGATGGGCCGGGTCCGTTGTCAGACCCACCCGGGTTTGCTCCGTTTTCCGTCTCCTCAGCCGGCTTGCACCCAGTAAATGATTTGGCATTTCCCTGTTTCCAGTTTCCTCCTCCGGGAAAATGGGGATCGCGTGGCCTGACCCCAGTCTCTGTTTGTTTTCCCCTCACGGAGAAAGCAAGTCTGCACATTGGTCCACCCTTACTTTTTTGTTTTACCCAGGGATTTAACATCATTTGTGGCCATTTGATTAATTCCCATCAGTTCTTTAATTTTATTTATTTATTTCAGAGAGAGAGAGAGAGAGAATGAGAGATAGAAAGCACGAGAGGGAAGAGGGTCAGAGGGAGAAGCAGACTCCCCGCCAAGCGGGGAGCCCGATGTGGGACTCGATCCCGGGACTCCAGGATCATGACCTGAGCCGAAGGCAGTCGCTCAACCAACTGAGCCACCCAGGCACCCAGTCCTTTAATTCAGTACTAGCCCTAGAGACTAGGGTGTTTCTTTTAAATCACTCAAGTGTTAACCTAGGTTGCTTGAGAGCCCTGGGGGCTGATGATTCTTGACTAAGCTTGGACTTCAGCGGTCAGATAAGTTAGCAAATGTGTGTATCCCTGAATCCCATTCGCAGTGGTAGTGGTCAAATAAAGAAAATGTATATTGTACACCTGAAACTAACAGTGTGTATTAACTAACTGGGATTAAGATAAAAACACAAAAGAAAAAAAGAAGAAAATGTATATATCCCATAAAGCCCATTTACTGTGGTCTTCCCCATTAGGGAAGACCCTGAGAGTCTGCCTTGGTTCTCCCCTCAGTCCATCAGCAAATAGTGAGGGCTCTCAGCCTTCAAAATAAATTCTAATCTGACTACTTTTCCCCACCTGTGCGGCCCTCAACCTGTCCCAGGCACCATCGTCCCCCGCCCTCCTGGGCCACAGCGGTGGCTTCCTCACTGGGCTCCCTGCTTCTCCCTCTTCCCCTCCCAGTCCGCTGTCCCCGCGCGCAGCAAACAGAGGGATCATGTGAAAATCCAAGTCCCTCTGGGTAGAGAGCCGGGTCATCACCTCAGTCTTCAAGGCCCCTCCCTGTAGCATCTGCCTTTGCTCCCGTGCCGCCTCCACGCTGGCCTCCTTGCATGGGCTTTGCATTTGCTGTTCCCATGGACTGGAAGGCTTTTCCCCCAGATCTCTGCATGACTCCGTTCCTTATTCCATTTAGGTCTGTGCTCAAATACGACAGCCTTCCTGGCCAGCTCTCTCTCTCGCCCCCGGGCTGGGCCAAGCGGCCCCTCTGGGCACCTGGGGCCCCCAGCCTCTATCCTTCCAGCCCTGCCCACTCTGAGTCAGTCTGGTCTAGAGACAAGTCTGTGGCAGCCGCTGAACTGGGGTGGTTTGCTCACGGCTGTGTCCCTAGCAGCGCCCCAGGTGGGCTGGGCCCTGAGCAGGCCCTTGGATAATGTGGATGGGTGAATCTTTTCATTCCTTCAACAAATATTTACCAAGCTCCCCCTGTTTGCCTGGCTCTGGCTGGGGCTGGGGGTGGAGTCATGAAATAATGGGACTTGGCTTTTCTCTCAAAGTCCTGTGTTCGATGGGACACCAGGGTGGCTCAATTGGTTGGGCATCTGCCTTCGGCTCAGGTCATGATCCCAGGGGATCGAGTCCCGCATCGGGCTCCTTGCTCAGCGGGGAGTCTGCTTCTCCCTCTGCCTGCTTGTGCTCTCTCTGACAAATAAATAAATAAAATCTTAAAAAAAAAAAAAAAGTCCTGTGTTTGGTGGCAGCACAGACAGACACACAGGTAAACAAATACATGCATATTGTCAGGAGGGGGTCGTACCGTGGGGACAGGAGAACGCAGGGTGAAGGGGCTACTGTGTCCCCCCTGTAAAGGCGATGTTTGAGCAGCGACCTGAGTGCAGTGAGGGAGGAAGGTGAGCCGTGGATCCGGAAATATGTAAGTCTCCCATCTGGAAGAGGGTTCCGGGCAAGAGTGTGCTTGCAATGTTCGAGGACTAGAGCAGTGAGGCAAGGGTGGGGGGCGCGGGATAGGAGGTCAGAGAGGGTATGATAGGGTCTTGGAGCCACTGTGAGGACTTGGGCTTTTTGCTCTTGGGGAGGTGGGAGCCATGGGAGGGCTCTGAGCAGAGGAGGGGTGTGCTGGGACTTAGTTCTAACAGGATCTCCCTGACAGCTTTGTCTGTGCAGGGAACAGACTGTAGGGTAAAGCTAGAAGCTGGGGACCCAATGGGGAGGAGACTGGTATAGTCCAGGTGGCCGGGGATGGTGGCCGGACCGGGGAGGAGGCAGAGTGGGGCAGGGGGTGAAAAGTTGCTGGGTTCTGGATACTACTTTGAGGTGGAGCTGCCGGGCCTTACTGATGGATTGAATATGGGTGGCAGAGAAAGCGAGGAGGGGTCCAGGACACTGTGGGATGTCTTTTGCCTGATCACCCTGAAAGATTCTCCCTTCTCCTGGAAAACCTAGGAGGTCTTTTTTTTTTTTTTTTTCCTTCCTTCATCGTTTCAGAGATGAGGAACCAGAGCAGGGAGGCTGCCATAGAGTCGCAGTGACCTGCCCAGATCCCTGGTAATGAATCTGGGAGGGCTAAGAACCCCCCGGGCTCCCCGAATCCACACCTTCATCCTCTCTGCTGCGGGGTAAGCTATGGCCTGCCTCCTGGTCTGGTATGGCCCACCAGCCAAGAGTGGGTCTTACATTTTTAAGTGCTTGGAAAACTTGAAGAAATCTTTGTGGGTGCATGAAATAATATGAAATGCAAATTGCAGTGTCCTGGTACGGAGGGTTGTAAGGAGAATGGCCACGTTCCTTGTCACATCTGTCCGTGGCCGCTTTCTTAATACTGTGGCGGCGTTGAGTAGTTGTGACAGACCCTATGGCCCACAAAGCCTGAAATATTTACTTTTAGGCCCTGTACAGAGAACATTTGCTCACTTCTAGTAAGGATTCAATCTGGGCCACCAGTGAGGGTGTCTGATCTGTAGGGCTTGAACAGCTAGTCCCTAGGAAAGGCCTGGGCTGGGACAGAAAGTTTGGGGAGCGGGTAAGGATGGGAGAGGAAGTTCAGATTCCCGAGGGGGAATCTAACATTTTTATTTGTATTTCTTTAAATTTTATTTTAAGTAGTCTCCACACACCGCCCTGAGATCAAGAGTCGCACGCTCTACCAAATGAGCCAGCCAGACGCCCCAGGAATCTAACGTTTTTATTTATTTATTATTATTTTTTAAATGTCCAAATACTAAACAGTGGAAGCTTTTATTTATTTATTTATTTATTTATTTATTTATTTATTTATTTATTATTTTTTAAAGTATTTATTTATTTGACACAGAGAGAGCGAGCGAGCACAAGCAGGGGGAGTGGCAAGCAGAGGGAAAGGGAGAAGCGGGCTCCCAGCTGAGCAGGGGCTCCATCCCAGGACCCTGGGAATTACGATCTGAGCCAAAGGCAGATACTTAACCAACTGAGCCACCCAGGCGCCCCAGAATCTAACATTTTTTAAGGGACATGGGAGCATTACAATATGCCCCTTCCTTCTTGAAATTAGAATTTAAAATTTACTTTGATGGCGGTGCCTGGCTGGCTCAGTCGGTAGAGCATGTGATTCTTGATCTCGGGGTTGTGAGCTCCAGCCCCAGGTTGGGTGTAGAGGTGACTTAAACCAAATAAAATCTTTGAAAACAAATTACTTTGAGTAGTAGGGACGGCAAAAGGTATAAAAAGGTAGACAGTTAAAAGTCCCCTGCCCTGGGCTCTTCAGGGGCTGAATGACCAGCAGTGGTTGCAGTTTTCATGGATACAAACTGCCGCCCTTTGACACTGTCCTCATTTACACCCTTAGTCCTAAGGGCCATGAAGACGTTTCTCCACAGATGCACCAGCACGATGCTTCATCAGCCTTTAGTCAACTCCCTAATCTGGGAGGTGAAGAATCTTACAGTACTGTAGCTTTAATCTGCATTTCTCTGGTTCTCTGTGAGGTGGTGAATATGTTCAGGAGTTGAGTAGCCATCTTTTTCTGGCCCCGCAACCCCACCTGTTTATCCGCCCTGATGTTTTATTTTGTTCCCCCCATATATGGAGAGCTCTTTTTTTTTTTTTTAAGAAATTATTTCTTAAGAGTGTATCCACTGAATTTTATTTTTATTTATTTATTTATTTTTAAGATTTTGTTTATTTGTCAGAGAGAGAGGGGGCACAAGCAGGGGGAGCTGTGGGTAGAGGGAGAAGCAAGCGTCCCCCCAAAAATAAAATCTTTAAAAAAAAAAAGAGGGCGCCTGGGTGGCTCAGTCGGTAAGCGTCTGCCTTCGGCTCAGGTCATGATCCCGGGGTCCTGGGATCGAGTCCCGCATCGGGCTCCCTGCTCGGCCGGGAGTCTGCTTCTCCCTCTCCCTCCCCCCACTCTCATGCTCTCTCTCAAATAAATAAATAAACAAATCTTTAAAAGGAAAAAAAAAAAAGGCTTTATTGAGATGTAATTCTCATACCATACTATTCACCAGTGGGTGACGATTTTGGGAGTCACAGCTCGGGGTGGGGGATGCTACAGGTGTCTCATGGGCAGAGGCCAGGGCTGCTGCTAAAATCCTACAGCTCTGCATCCAACAGCCCCCCACAACAGGACAAAGAGTGACCCCGCCCCAAATATCAACAATGCTGAGGTTGAGAAACCCTCATCTGTTGCCTTGGCCCATTTCTCTGCAGGGTCCTTTCTTGCAAGGAGCTCACGGGTGAGCTGCAGACACAGGAAGAGCCTAACAAGGAAAAGGTTCATCTTAATCTCCCCTGCACGGTGAGTGGCCCCGGGATGGGACACCGGCTGCCTAAAATCTGTCATCACTTGAGAGAGGACTAAGCCACAGACAGGGGTGCAGCCACCGGAAACTTGGATCCCCCTCTCCCTCTCCCTCTCTCTTGCACACAGAACCAGCACTTCCCTATAGGCAACCAGCATCATGGTCGTGGCGCTTGACGTGTTCCAGGCCTGTGCTCAACACTGTGATTGTTCGTGCATGTAGTCCCCGGGCCGACCCTGTGGGGTTGGTCCTCTTACCATGCCTATTTCACAGATGGGGAAACTGAGGCACAGACAGGTTAAGCAACTTACCCCAGTCGCACAGCAATACTAATAATAACAATTGTAACTAAATTTTTATGGAGAAGCTACCGTGAACCAGGCGCCCCCATCCTGCAGGAGCCTGTCGCATCCTGATAACCCGCTGAGGTCACCCAGCGAAGCAGGCCTGTGAGCTCAATCTCCACTGCATTCGTTCATGCAGGAGCAGTGTTGAAGGGGCCGGCTCTTTGTGTCCCTGCCACACAGGGTTCCAGGAGCTGGGGATACAGCCGAAGGCAAGAAGCGAGGCCGCTGCCCATGGGTAGGCAGGCATCTAGCAGGGGACAAAGGGCATAAGCAGAATGACAAATATAGCCTACGTCAGAAGAGTACTGTGTGCTACAGAGAACGACGAAGCTGGGGAGGGCAGGAAAGGACGTGGGGTGGAACTTGAACATGGCGTGCCCAGAGAAGGCAGACGGCGCGTACAAGCAGAGGGATCCTCACGCGCAAGGGTGTGAGAGGCACTTCCGTGCCAGGTGTGCTTGCAGACCCACAAGGAGGCCGGCGAGGCTGGGGTAGAGACAGAAGCGTGGCAGACCACGAGGGTGCTGGCAGGGTCCGGAGCCTGCAGGGCTGCTGAGGGCTGTGGGGAGGACTTTGGCTTCGACTCTGGGGAGGGCTGTCAGCAGAGGAGGGATGTGACCTGACTCAGGTGTTAGATGGTGGGTGTCAGGTGTTAAGCAGGTCCCTCTGGCTGTGTGGGTGGGGATGGACTTGGGGTGAGGGGACAGTGAAGGTGGAAGCCAGGGGCCCAGGGAGGACGTGTCTTCAGTTGTCCAAGCAGAGAGCGACAGTGGCTGGGCCAAGATGTGGGCAGTGGAGAGAGAAGCGTTAGGCTCGGAATACAAAACAACACTTGATCCTTGAACAACACAGGTTTGAACTGCATTGGTCCACTTATACATGGATTTTTTTCCATAAATACAGTACAATACTGGAAATGTATTTTCTCCTCCTTGTGATTTTCTTCATAAACTTTGCTTTTCTCTAGCTTGCTTTAATGTAAAAATACAGTATATGATACATGTAACATATGAAATATGTCTCAATCAACTATTTATGTATTTATGTTATCAGTTAGGCTTCCAGTCAACAGCAGGCTACCAGTAGTTATGTTTTTGGGGAATCAAAAGTTATACCTGGATTTTCAGTAGTGCATGGGGTCAGCGCTCTAACTCCCATGTTGATCAAGTGTCAAATATATATGTTTTCCTCCTCAGGCTATGTCTTTTATGACGTTGATTTTTTTTTTTTAAAGGGTAAAGAGAATGCACTTCAAAGATTTTGTTTATTTGTCACAGAGAGAGAGAACACAGGCAGGGGGAGAGGCAGAGGGAGAAGCAGGCTCGCCACTGAGCAGGGAGCCCGATGCGGGGCTCGATCCCAGGACCCTGGGATCATGACCTGAGCTGAAGGCAGACGCTTAACCAACTGAGACACCCAGGCGCCCCTTGATCTTTTTTTTTTTTTAAGTAAACTCTGTGCCTCATATGGGACTCGAACTCATGACCCCACGATCAAGAGTCATATGTTCTACTGCCTGAGCCAGCCAGGCACCCGATGACCTTGATATTTTTGAAGAACTCAGGCTCACTTTTTTTTTTAAGATTTTATTTATTTATTTGAGAGAGAGAGAGTAGAGAGAGAGCATGAGAGGGAGAAGCAGACTCCTCGCTGAGCAGGGAGTCGGATGCAGGGCTCGATCCCAGGACCGTGAGCTCATGACCTGAGCGAAAGGCAGACGCTTGACCGACTGAGCCCATCAGGCTCTTTTTTTATAGAATGCCCCTCAATTTGAGTTTCCTCACGGTGAGATTTAGGTAATCCATTTTTGGCAGGAATACCACAGAAGTGGTGCCCCATCCTCAGTGTATCACCTCAGGGGCACATGGGGTCCATTTGTCCCACCACTGCACATGATGGCTTTGATGCCTAAGTTAAGGTCGTGTCCACCAGGTTCCTCTATTACAAAGTTACTGTTTACTCATTACGACAAATAAACATTTTGGGGGAAAGTACTTTAAGACTGTGGATACGCTGGCCCTCACCCAACACTCGTTCACAAATTTTAGCGTCCGTTGGATTTTAGCTCCTTCATTTATTTACTCTTTTATTTACTTATCATTAGTAGGGACTCATGGATTTCTCTTTTATTCAGTGGGTTATAATTATCATTTTTCGTTTATTTCTTTTAAGATTTTATTTTTAAGTAATCTCTACACCCAAAGTGGGCCCTGAACTTACAACCCCGAGATCAAGAATCACATGCTCTACCGACTGAGCCAGGCAGGCGCCCTGTGTAACTATCATTATTGTAATGTTCACATCATTCCAGAGCTGGCCACCGGAAGCCGTTGTAAGCCGGCTCCTGTGTGATTGGGAATGTATTCGGGAGAGAGCATTTCCCTCTGGATTGGATAGGCTGTGCGTGAGAGAGTTGAGGAGGCTGGAGTTTGTTCTTTTCAGCAAGTATTTATAGCCAGGGACTAGGAATAAAACAGTGATAAAAGCAGTCAAAAGTTCCTGCTGTCGTGGACCTGGAGAATGGTGGTAGCAGCTCCTGCGGAGGGAGGGCACGGAGTTTAGGAGGAGAATCCGGCATGGGTTTTGGACAAGTCGAATTGAGGTGGGGTTAGACAGACACCTCTTGTTGTCATTGCACACTCCCCGTGTAACGGCTTCTTGCTTTCTTCACCCACCAGCCAGGACAATGCAGACTCCGCTGACCATTCCTGTACCTGTGCTCCGGCTTCCCCGCGGCCCGGATGGCTTGAGCCGTGGCTTTGCCCCAGATGGACGCAGGGCCCCCCTGATGCCAGAGGGTCCCGAAGCCCCGGGGTCTGCCGTAGTTCGAGACTCTCGGGAATCCCAGGAACAGCAGGCACGAGCTGCACTCCGGGAACGCTACCTCCGCAGCCTGCTGGCCATGGTGGGTCACCAGGTGAGCTTCACACTGCACGAGGGCGTGCACGTGACTGCCCACTTCGGAGCCACCGACCTGGACGTGGCCAACTTCTACGTGTCGCAGCTGCAGACGCCCATTGGTGTGCAGGCTGAGGCACTGCTGCGGTGTAGTGACATTATTGCGTACAGCTTCAAGCCCTAAACACGTTACTATGGTCATCTTTCTGCTTTGGGCCTCGGCCTGGGGCCCCAGCCCTCCACACATGGTCGTGGGCCCCAGAGAGTTTGGAATGCCCTTGGAATTTTGAGCCGGGCTCCAAGCACCTCTGGCTTCCTGGGACCTCCAGGGTGCAGTCAGTAAGATTCTACAACCCCAGGAGTTCTAGAGCCCCTTGAAATGAAGGCTCTACCTCACAGAACTATAAACTCTAAAAACAGGGCCACTTGCCAGTTCCTGAAGACTGGGGGTTGGGGGTGGAAGGCAAATCGCAGAGTAGGAAATTGTTTCTTGAAATTGCAAAGGTCAGCCACCCTGAAGATACTCTCCTCCTACTAAAGAACCAATTATCCCAGGAAAATTCGCCTCCTGTTTTTTTTTTTTTTTTTTTTTTTTTTTTTTTTTTTTTTTAAGTGTACGACACAGGGATGGAGCCAGATTTAGGAAGTGGAAGGGTGGCTAGCCAAGGGCTGGATCTGGTGGATCTGGGACAAGAAGAGGACACATCACGGGGCTGGAAGGAGCGCGGATAAAGGTGGAGACTGGCTTGGTCCGGGAATGGCTGGAGCTACCTGAATGCCGGGCTTGGGACATTTGGACGCGATTTCTTTTTCGGGATGGGCGGGAGTGTTTCCAGCCAGGGGCGTGGCTCTCACTGGGTGACCTGGTCGCCCCGCCCTAGAGCGGTGTGGACCTCACTCTAGAGACGGCCGGTTCGCTTCCCCGCCCACTCTGGAAGGGGTCGGACCCCGTGCGGCGGCGACACAGAGGCCAGGCTGAGGACTAGGGGTTGGGGTGAAGCTTCACCCTCTCCATTTCGCTCCAAGCTGTGTGACCGTCCATATCATTAGCTTCCCTTATCCCCGTCACCAGCTGTCTGTCAGCAGATTCGCCTTAAAACAGTAATTGCTGCCCCCCCTTGTAGTCCCATCAACTTTAGAACGCAAGTGAAGATCCCATTAAGTAGAGACGAGATTTGCTTTGTTCATCTGCAGTCGCGAAAGTGCGGCGGTTGGAGATGCTGAATGGGGCAGGCGGAGAGCCTCAGCTCCCATAGGTCCGTTCGCGACGCCGCCTCCAGCGAGTCCGGGGCCTAGCTCCCGAGTTGCCTTGGCAACGACGTCGCTCGCTCCTCCCCGAATCCCCCCTCCCTTTTCGTTTTAGCCCCGCCTCCCACCCCCGACCCCCAATTGGGGATATGCTAGGAAAGCCTGGCGAAAGTGCGGAGGCGAATATTAAGCGATTGAATTGAGGGGAGGTCTGGGGGTTGAGCTCGTGCCGGTTCCCTCCGGGCTTGGTGATCTAGCCGCTCCATCGCCCGATTATTTTGGTTGGCAGATTCGTCTCTTGGTTTTGGAACTTCTTCCCTTTTCCAGTTGTTGTTGTTTTAATCAGGGCTATGATACTCCTCATGGGCTCATATTTATTTTAGTCTTTGAATTTAAATTGCATTTCACGCAACGAATACAGAGAACTATTGATGAAACCGCTGTCTGCAAATGGAGGGCTAGAGAGTAAGTAGCCAAGAGGCACAGGCTTCGTCTCCAGGCAGAGGATCCGTCTGTCAGCATCCATCACTTGTACTCATATATTCAGTACGGCTAATATCGCCTTTCCTTTCAGGTTCTCTGCCCCTTTGCCTCTCTTCTTATCAGTTGGCCTAGCCCCGCCGAGCAGATGTTTTTATTTTTATCAACTCCATTCCCCTCTCGGTTGCCCGAGCTCGTGACGAATGTGCGTGAGTCTGAACGTTAGTTACCTAGATTGAGGCGGGGAGGCGGGGTGGGGGCGGCTCAGGTTCGCGCTTGCGCGCTGCTCCGGGAGACGGCGTCCACCTCGCCCCGCCCCTCGTATTCTGCAGTTCCGGCTCTGCAGATTCACTGCTCACGTTTCTTTTGCCCGTGGTTCTTTCTGCCTCTTGTTACCGGTTTCAACAACCCGCGAGACAGCCCTGCCCGCAAATAGCTTAAATTGATTTTCTGCTTTCCTCAGTCCGCGACGGGCTCACGGGCTCTTAACGAAAGTGCGGCTGCGAACGAGCAGGCGCGCGCGAGGCTCGGGGGAGGCGCGCTCGAGCTCCCGGCGGCGACGACTACGACGACCAGGAGAGCGGTCGGAGGCGGCGCCTGAAGCAGCGGCGGAGCCCATGCCCCGGGACGGCGGGCGGGCCCGGAGAGACGAGCCCGGGGCCCGGGACATGTCCCCGGGGCCCCCGTGAGGAGGCGGCGGCGGCGGCGGCGATGGAGATCCCGCCGCAGGAGGCGCCGCCCGGGCCGGGCGCGGACGGCGACGCCGAGGAGGCCCCCGCCGAGGCCCGGTCTCCGAGCCCCGCGTCGTCCCCCGCCGACGGGCGCCTCAAGGCTGCGGCCAAGCGCGTCACGTTCCCCTCCGACGAGGATATCGTGTCTGGAGCGGTGGAACCCAAAGACCCCTGGAGACACGGTAGCTACCGCCGGGGCGCGGGGGCAGGCTCGTGGCGGACCCGGAGTCTGTGCAGCGCCGGGCCCCGAGGTGGTGCTCAATAAGTTGCACCTAATGAGGATTTAAGGAGACTGTCGTCAGTTTAGAGCAGCAAGATGTGAGAGACGGCGTGCCTGTTGGGTTGGGAAGGTGAAAAGTAGCTGGCTTATCCGCCCCCCCGGATCCCCCCAGTCGCTGAAGGTGGTCGTTTTAGGAATTAAAACGACAAGCAGTTAAAGTTTGGAGGCTTGGGAGATCGGTGGGGCGGTAGTCTTTGAGTTCCTAGTCGTCCTCCCCCCCCCCCCAGAAGGATAAAGCGAGCAGTCAGGGAAGGAAGAGTGGATCAGCATTGGCGTTCAAAGGGCAGGTGGAGTTTGATGGGCTCATAGGGATGGAAAGAGGTTAAGTTGCGGGTCTGCAAACCTCAGGACAAGGGGTAGTCATGTTGCTCACTTTTTTGGCTGAAAGGAGAGGAATAAACCAGCCTGGCCTGTGGCTGCGGAGGAGTTGGTAAATCCTGGGGTTGGGAAAAGGGAGTCAAGGTAAACAAACTTCCAGGAAAGGAGCAGAGTTGATGGTCACTTTGGAGGTGGGTGAGATAGCCGGAGGAGGTGTTAGATGTTGACATTAAGAAGAAAAGTCACTGCATGCCTCCTTCTCTTCTCCCCAAAAGGGAAACAAAGCATTATCAGTCATTAAGGAGCAGAGGACCTTTGGGGTCTGGGTATAGAAGGATCTCTTTTAAAAAAAATCTTCGTTTCCTGAGAAAGAGTTGGGGAATTGGGAGTTGTTGGTCGGTAGACGGTGAGGGCCTGAAGAAGTTTGCTGGCCTGAGATGTTGGTAGAGGGAGCAAGTCTGCAGATTCTAGGTCCCCTGAAGGTCAGATTTGTGTTGGAACTGAAAGGGCAGCTGGAGGAGTGTGTGTGTTTTACCTATAGGACTAAAGTTGGAAAGGCACTCAGTAGATGAGTTGAGCGTTGAGTCTTCCTCTGCTTGTCTTGCCATGGTGGAGCCCACAAAGGGGTCACAGACTGGTCCTGGCTCAGTAGATGTTGGTCACTTGACCCCAGGAAAGAGGAGGCACTGTTGCTAGTCTGGCAGTGGAGGAATTGTGGCTTTTTTGTGAGAGTGGGAAACATGGTAACTGGAAGCTGAGCACATAGGTGGCCTGCCATAAATGCCAGTTTGGCTAGTTCTCGTTAAAGAGACAATTTATGATTGTTGGCATCGAGAGCCAGCCACGTCTTGGGCTCTGGGCCCCAGGGATAGGTGTCACTTTTGGGTTGGAGGACTTGGGCTGGGGAGGGGAAGGGTCATATGGGGCCCTGGCTATAGCATGGTACCCAGTCCAGGGAGTTGAGAGCAGGAGGAGAGAAAGACCTGGATAGGAAGAGTAGGGTGCTGGAGAGCAGAGGTTCCAGTTCAAATCCTGACTCCCATTTACTCACTTCATGACCTCAGGCTGGTTATCTAATTCCTCAGAGTCTCAGCTTTCCCGACTGTGAAGTGGGTGGTAATAACCCCTGCAAAGGCTTTAAGAGAGGACTAAATATGGTTGTGTATGAAAAGTAATTGGCCAGGATGAGCTTTCATGAAGTTGCAGTTAGTGTTGGTCATTTTCGGGGTGATGCTGGGTGATACTTGTCATTTTAGGGGCCAGTCTAGACGTTCATGTGCTTGGGGCCTGGATGTTTCTGCTTCCCAAGCCTTCAGGAGAGGGACAGAGATGGTGGTCAGTTTGTGGGCCCCGGGCAAGCAGGAAGGAAGATGAAAAGTTTGTGGGCTGGAGGGCCATGGTTGAGGCAGGGGGAGAGTTGGCACGGGGTGGGGCTGGGGGCTGGGGGCAAGTTTCTGGTGTGCAGGTTTCCAGAAGAGGAACAGCTGTGTGTAACCAGCTGTTTGATTTTTGAGTAAGCTGTTTTCCTCTCTGCACCTCCTGTTTCTTTCTCTGCAAATGGGGGTGCTAATTTCTACCGCGGGTAGTTGTGAGGATTAAATAAAATAGTCCTTGTCAATTCTTGCCACAGAAATAGCAGCTGCTGTTACCCAGGCGGTGAAGGAGTTTGAGGGGAGGGAAGAATGTCAAGAAAGAGGGGTCACTTGGAGTCTGGCTGGGAGGAGCTGAGAGGACAGTTGCTGATTGGTCTTCCCCGGGTAGGGGGAGGTGGTAACACATTACAGGCTCGGGGAGTCTCTCATTTCTGGAAGTTTAAAGAGGGACGGCAGGGACTGGTCAGGGGCTGGACTCACACTTCGGAGTCAGTGGGTCTGAGGTAGAGCGGTGATGATACGGAGAAGTTGAGAAATCAGTTTACGGGCTGGCAGAGATGGTCTGTCTTGGCTGGGGAGAGGGGCCGAGGGCTTGGCCTGGCAGTGAAGGAGTTGGGGGATCTTGGTCCCCAAGCAAGGTGACGTTGGTGAGTTTAGACAATGGAATTTGCAGGACAGGAAATTGGAGGGCCTGTCAATGCTGAGGAGCAGGTGGCTAGCCTCTGTGCTTGGGGAGGACAGTGAGTTGCTGCCTGGCTCGGGACCAGGGAAGGTGGAGTCTTGTCAGGCCGTAGAAGAGGAAACTCGGTACAGAAAGTTGGGCCAAGGGGGTTACCTAGTTGGGAGGCTAAAGGGTCTTCGCTGGGGGCTGCGGGGTGGACTTGGTTGGTCTTAGAAGAGGGGCGGGAGATATGTCGGACTTGGTCTTTAAGCCATGGGAAAGCACAGGGGCGGTGTCTTCGAGCTGTGGACCTGGTGGGAAGGGTGATGGAAGAGTCATTCTGGGGCCTGCTGTGGTGATGTGACCCTGGGATCAAGGGTGAGGGGAGAGTTGGCCGGTCTGATTTGGGAGAGAGGTCATTCAGAGGCTGCTCTTTCATCATAGAGATGGAGAAGTTGCCTGAGCCAGG